TACATGCACAGTTCAGTGACATTGACTACGCTCTTCCAGTTGTGCTGTTATTCTCACTTAAGATGAAGGCTTACAGAACAAAATAATTTCTCATTTAACAGTCACTACACATGTTGCCCTATGACAATGGTTAACAATCTCACAACACATCTACAATATCCTTACCCAACCTTGGGTTCCCTATCACCAGCTTCCTTGTCCCCTTCTGCCTTCTGGCCCTTGTCACTGGACTCCTGTACCTTGTTAGTCTCATTTGGTTTTACGGGGCTGTCCACTCCCAAGCTGAACGGTGAACCTTGGAGATAACTTCACCACTGAGCTAAAAGGGTGTCTGGGGGCCATCCTCTCGAGGTTTCCCCAGTCTCCTTTAGGCCAGTAAATCAAATGGGTGCTTTTTAAATTTAGGTAGGGACACAGCCCAGATTGCACTCATTCATTCATTCAACTGAGTACGAATTATGTGCCAGACAAACGCCAAGGTACTGGAGATAAAATGGTAAGCTAAACATGACTTTGGGGATTAGAGATAATCAAATTGTGTAAATATAAATGCTGTGAAACAAATAGGTAGACTCAATACCAACTGTTTTTTTTTTTTTAATTTAAAGACCTAGCATACTCGTATTTGGAGACCTGGTAGCACAGTGGATAAGCGCTCAGCTGCTAACCAAAAGGTGAGCGATCTGAATCCGCTAGCCATTCCGCTGAAGAAAGATGTGGCAATCTGCTTCTGCAAAGATTACAGCTGTGGAAACCCTATGCAGCAGTTCTACTCTGTCCTATAAGGTGCTATGAGTCAGAATCAACTCGATGACAATGGCTTGGTTTACAGTCATAGTCAAGCTTAATAAATGAAAGTGAATCAAGCAATGGGCTTGATTTAACTTTGGCCAATACAAATCCAGTGACCCCAGTGTGTAATCACGTGCATTTCCGGTCTTACTCTTCAAGATTTAAAAACGATTATTTTTAAGAGTTTTGGGGTAAGATCCAGAAACTATAGAATGCCCTAAGAATTTGTTATACATGTATAATATAAATACTCATAGAACTGTAGGTTTGCAAAAGGTTTATTTTTTTTCTACTGAAAGCTAAGAGCTAGATCTTCATATTCACAAAGGCCTGCATTTCACCACTGTTGAAAGGCAGTGGTGATTTTATTTTTTTTAGTTTTATTTATTTTGTTGTTGTTGAGAATATATACAGCAAAACAGACACCAATTCAACAGTTTGTACATGTACCATTTAGTGACACTGACAACATTCTTCGAGCTGGGCAACCATTCTCACCCTCCTTTTCTGATTTGTTCCTCCCCCATTAACATAAATTCACTGCCCCCTAAAGTTCCTATCTAAACTTTCGAGTGGCTGTTGTCAATTTGATCCCATATAGACAGTCAAGGCAGACTTTTTTTTTTTTACTAGTCAAGCTAAACCACTGTTTGGTTTTAAGAAGACTTCAGGGGATATTTCTGGTCTAAGGTTTAAAGATTATCTCAGGGCAATAGTTTCAGGGGTTCATCTAACCGTCATGGCTCCAGGAAGTCTGAAGTCCATGAGAATTTGAAATTATTTTCTACATAACCTCCCCCCACCCCACTGCACACACACACACACACACACACTTTGATCAGGATTCTACACAATCTATGATCAAAATGTTCTAATGAGAGCTGGGCACCATCCAGTTCTTCTGGTCTCATGGCAAAGGAGGCAGTTGTTCATGGAGGCAATTAGCCACATATTTCATATCCTCCTTCTATTCCTGATGCTCCCCCTCTCGTGTTCCAGGCGAACAGAGACCAATTATGCCCTGGGTGGCCGCTTGCAAGCTTTTAAGACCCCAGGAACTAGGTGGTAGAAAAGAAGTCCTACACATGTTATTCTGCCAATTAACTGGGATATCTCATGTAACCATAACCCTAAACCTCCAAAGGAAGAAACCAAATCCCATGAGGTTTTTGGTTATACATAAGCAGCCTCAGCAGCTTCTCTCTCTCTTTTTTTGGTCGTTGTTGTAAATATATCTATCACACAACTTTTGCCAGTTCAACTTTTCACAGGTGTTCAACTTATTGACAGCACTTACAATAACTGGCTGGGCGATCCTACCCTTAATCAATGATATATTTCCATCACTGTTAACCTCCCCTTTTCTCCTGCCCCTGGCCAACACTCATCTGTCAGTTTGTCATACTATGGTAGCTTGTATGTTGCTGTGATGCTGGAAGCTGTATCATCAGTATTTCAAATACCAGCAGGGTTACCCAAGGTGGACAGGTTTCACTGGAGCTTCCAGAATAAGACAGACTAAGAAGGACCTGGTGATCTACTTCTAAAAACACTGGACAGTGAAAATGTTATGACTAGCAGCAGAACACTGTCTGATCCACTGCTGAAAGATGAGCCCCTCAGGCTGGAAGGCACTCAAAATATAATTGGGAAGAGATGCCTCCTCAGAGTAGAGTCGACCTTAATGACATGAATGGAGTAAAACTTTCAGGATCTTCACTTGCTGATGTGGCACGACTCAAATGAGAAAAAACAGCTGCAAACATTCATTAATAATCAGAAAGTAGAATGTACAGAGTATGAATCTGGGAAACTGGAAATCGTCAAAATGAAATGGAACACTTGAAGGTAGATACCCTAGGCATTAGTGAGCTGAAAAGGACAGGTACTGGCCATTTTGAATTGGACAATTATATGGTCTACTATGCTAGGAATGACAAATTGAAAAGGAACGGTGTCGCATTCATTGTCAAAAAGAACATTTGAAGATCTGTCCTAAAGTATAACACTATAAGTGACAGGACAATATCCATACACCTACGAGGAAGATCAGTTAATATGACTAATAATCAAATTTATATACCAACCACTAATGCCAAAAATGAAAAAATTGAAGATTTTTACCAACTTCTGCAATCTGAAATTGATCAAACATGTAATCAAGATGCAGTGATAATGACTGGTGACTGGAACGTGAAAGCTGGAAAAAGAAGGACCAGTAGTTGGAAAATATGGGCTTGGTGATACAAACGACACTGGAAATCACATGACAGAATTTTGCAAGGTCAATTATCTGTTCTTTGGAAATATCTTTTTTCAACAACATAAACGGTCTCTGGTGGCACGGTAGTTAAGAGACTGGCTGCTAACCAAAAGGTCAGCAGTTCGTATCCATCAGCTACTCCTTGGAAACCCTATGGGGTAGTTTTACAGGGTTGCTATAAGTCCGAATTGACTCGACGGTAACGAGTTTGGTTTTTTTTTTTTGGTATACACGTGGACCTTGACAGATGGAATACACAGGATCTAATTGACTACATCTGTGGAAAGAGAAGATGGAGAGGCTCAATATAATCAGTCAGAATAAGGCGAGGAGTCGACTGCAGATCAGACCATTAATTACTTATAT